TCAGTTCAGAATTGTTTTACCTATGTTGTGTGTGCAATGGAATGAAATTGCAGATGGGGTACTAATTCCAGGACTGCTGTAAAGGAGAGATGAAGAAAAACAAAATCTTGAGAGTAAAACAATTTGAAATAGTTTTTGGTTTTTAGTTTTCTTTTTGTGTACCCTTCCTTGTACATTTCTTCTACATCTCGCCCACCATATACTTTCCCCATATTTTAAGCATGAAAAAGCAAAAAATGAGAACCAAAACATAATGGTTATCAAACAGGCCCTAAGCAATTCACAGTGAACCTCCATTTGCAATTAATATCTCTTGATTCTATCCTTGTTTTTCTATCCAAACTGAAATTTTGATATGTGAACTTTGAGTTCTATCATTGAATTGCATTGTAAGTGGAGGATAATAAATTTTTTTTTACATTAGGATTCCTTATATTATTTTTTTCCAGATGCTGTAAATACTGGACTGTGATCAAATCGAATTTCTTCAATGATAACTTTTTGTTTCTATTATGTTCTGTTATGTTCCTTTGGCCGAACATGCAAAACATTGTACATAGATTCGCAGATAACAAAAGTTTAGACAATATATTGATTTTTACTCTTTAAGGAAAAAAAATTATAGTAACACATGATGCATAATGTGTCATTGATGCTGTTATGCATAACGTAAGTTTTCTTGCATGAATCTAGTCTTCTGGATAGCACACAAAATTCAGTTTATGAGGTGATAGAGCCTCATATCAATTCCAAAAGAAATGGTGTTGCTCAGATAGTGAGATTTTGGAATATTCTGCATTGTAGAATTAAATGGTGTTGCTTATATATATACTAAAAATGCATTTTAATTTGTTAGTATGCATGAGTGCTTATAATGCCTCCTTTCCAACACTTACTATCTCAACCTTAGATAGTTATTAATTAGTGGTGGAAAAGTTATTGTTTTCTTTTGGATATAGATTCTCGGCTTGATGCTTATCTTTGCCCAATTATGTTTTGGATTTCAAGGCAAGATAGTATTGGCCAACTGGTTTCCATAGCCTACTGATATTTGCCTTGTTTGCTGATTACCACATGATTTTCTTTCAGAAACAAGCTACCCAGAAAGATGTGTTCCAGTTGTTTGCTGAGAAGGTGAGAGACAATAAGGATTTGGTGTCTAGGTGGGCTGTTCTACAGGAGACACGCGTGGAATATTTCAGGGGAAAGGATTTTGTATGCTTTTTGAGAAATCATCCTGAGGTCAAAGATATTCTAGAATCAGATAGAAATCTAGAAGCTGAAGATATTGCCGATGCTTTACTGGGAAAGAATCTTCTAGTACGCTGTGATCGTGTGGTGAAAACTCTTCGTCCTGGGAAGAGAAAGTTGTCTACATGGCCTGCACATTTGGAGATCTTTCCAGTAAGCTAACCTCTTAATTGTTTTTGAACAAGTAGCTTGCTGCCCTTGCAATTAACATGCTCTGCCTACGAGTTTCTCTTTTCATTTTAGTATAATACTTTAGATTAAGGAGTATATTCTTGGGGACCAGTTAAAGTGACTAAATCTGTCCTTTCTGTTTCAGAATCTCTTCATTGTGTATGTGCCCATACTCTTTATGTCTATGTGCTAAATCTGGCCTTTCGATCTCGGTCTCGGTTTTTGACTTTTTCAGTCAACTTGGTTTTTTTTTTTCGGTTTTTTCTTCATCAGTTTGGTCTGGTTCCTCGGTTTTTATGCCCACCCATATTCATACTATGCTATTTATGCTTACTTTGTACTTGTGGACATTTGGTGACATTGTTGTACCCTTTTTTACTTTCTCCTTAGATTGCTATGTTTTGATTTTATATTTGTAAAAGTTTGAAACTATGGAGGAAATGGGTGAAATTACTTGATGGTACCATCCATAGTGTGTTGAACTTCCCCTTTTTAGCAGGTTTACTAATATTTCAATTCTGTCTTTCTGTAAGCTGTCTTCTGTTCATGTATTTTCTAAGCACCACGCATCACCTTTGGTAATTTTTTTACTTCATTTGCAGGACCAAGTATTTTCTGAGAACGACGCCTTCTTTGCATGGACTTTTGTTAAACGGAGGCCTCTCTGGCAGACACTTCTCTCATTTTTCTGGCCAGTGGTTACATTGGCAATTTGTTTGTTTCCTGTATATCCCCATCGGTGCAAGCTTCTAATACTCTACTCATGTCTCGGTGTCCTCCTACTTTTTCTTTCTCTACTAGTTAGTAAGTTCTCAACTTCTGGTCATTTGTTTTTAGCATTTCTTTACATTTGCTTAACTCTGATTGGTTTATGGTGATGTGGATACAAGAGTGGAAGATTAGGTTCATACCTTTCACCCCTATTTAAAATGTCACTATTTTATTACACTTATTGGTGTGCTGGACATATCAACAATTCTGCACATTAGTCATGTAGTGGACATCAATGTGCGTTGCAATTGATATTTGTTGGATATTGCTTCACTTATTTTCAGACGTCAGGCTTTATTAGAGTCAGTGACATGCTTGTACAACTATGCGTATATGTTTAATTCAATACCTATATTTAGTTGGGTTATATACTTTCTGGCTTAGTACTATTATATCAACGCCGTCCATTCCTTATTTTTGGGATGACTACGCATCATTTGAAGTGTGTGCCTTTCAACCAAGGTATATTTTAGGTAGTAGATTGTTCTAGGTCTGCAATATCAATGGGGCACGTGGAAAGCACTGTTGCTTTGATGACATGACCAGAGACAGAGCTAGTTATATAAAGGCCTGCCTATTAGCCCAAGTCCCGCAGAGTGCGTTAAGATGAGATATTCACCCAAAAAAAAAAAAAACTAAATAGGACATGCCACCTTTGCATTAAGCACTATGCTGCTTGTTGTCCTTATCAGCTCTTGTTAAGTGTTCCTTGCCTATTATGTGGATTGCATTATTGTACGAGTGACTATCTTCTATCTTTGACCATCATATGTGAAAGAAAGTCGATGCTATTTTCAACGACGGCAGAAACTTGTTGGTTGTCGACAAGTTGCAGAGTCACTAGTTTTTTTTTTTTTTTGTTAACTAGTTACTAGTTTGTTTGTAAAGCTTTTAGGATTCCTCGACACATTTTTGCCATTTGCACCGTTGCTAAATATTTGTGACTAATTTGCTTATGCCTTTTGCCTCTCTTAATGTCTTATTAATCGCTAAAGTCAGTCTCACTATACCTATCAAATGGAATTGGGATAGGGTGGGGATATATAGGATCGAGGTTTATACTAGGTTTATATGTATTTTTCTGTAAAAATATACCTATGATCATAGCTATAAGGTTGCATCACAGCTGCCACCTTCACAGTTTTTATTATCAGGATTTTCCATCATCTTGGCCTAAAGGTTGTTAAATATATGTTTGAATAGGGTATCATTTTTCAAGTATTCATAATATTTGCATCAAGAAACCTAAATTTGTATCTAGATTTGTTTATTTGACTACAAGCTTCAGCTTAGCTATGTCTGTGATCTGTTAATTTCTTGATTTTGCATTAAAGAGTGTTAATAATGCAAATGATCATTCCAGTAATGATTTGTTCCCAGTAATATCGAACATGAACATTTAATTTTGTTTTGTGATTTCTTAACTTCCAGTGAGAGGTGCAATATTTGGAGTGCTATATATTGTTCTGGGAAAGCGAGTTTGGTTTTTCCCGAACATTCTCGCTGAGGAAGCTACTTTGAGAGAACTATTCCGTTTCTGGCCAAAGAAGGATGAAGAGGAGCGACCAAAGTGGACAACAAGGGTTTTCTATGCAGCAGTTGCAGTTCTGGTCATATTGCTGCTGAGGCACCATGCTCCTGATGAAGCTGCTAGAGCCAGGTGAGTTCTAAACCAACCAAATATACCGTAATGGCACTTGAGAGCATGAGTATGATCCTTGCTATGTACTGAGTTTCAAGTCGCATTGTTCTGTGGATGACGACGAATTGTGGCTAAACATGACAAAATTTTAAAACTTTCAGATCCACAATAATTTGAAGACCTGTTTCTTTTATATTTAATCTTTTGTTAGGGCCCGTTAATGTGCAATTATAGAGCATACCGATCTGCCTGCTAACGTACTGAATCGGTTTTCTGCTTCTTGGCGTTGCCAATCATACTAATGATTGACTCCATATTGTTGCAGGTACCAGAAACGTGTATCTAACATTATCGACGATGTTCTCGAGTGGTCTCCAAGATTGGCGCTTTCTGGGATGATGGAGAATATGCAAACTGTGGTTAACTCGACGGAGCCAAGTAATGCAACTGAGGAAGAGGTGACGCTGCCTGACGCCATGGATGCAGAAACTTTCACGGTGCTGTACGATGCAGAAGTTAGTGAAAATCTAGAGAACAACGACGAAAACGTAGACAGTAGAGAAGAAAACCTAGACAAGAGTGATGAACAGAAACATGATGACATATAACGTATGCGATACCGGAAAGAAGACATCGCCTTCTCTTTGGCCTTTACCTTTAAATTTGAGTGTAAAACAATGTATCAGACAGACAATAAAGCAGGTAGTTACATTTTTTTTTGTGGGATTTATAAGGGTGTTTTGTAAGGTTTGGTAGTTGGCTCCTACATGACTACTTGGATCGTAATTATCGGGTGATTAACTCGTGCAATACACAATTACTGCCCAGTATCAAAGAAAAATATAGGCTTTTCAGGTTGTCAGAATATTATTTATAACCCGACCGTTTTGTTTTTAGTTTTTATTTTTTTCCTTTTTTGTGCTACAAATAGACAGATGCATGGAGCAGAAGGAAGCGTAAACAAGTAATGGAAGAGGGAAAACTAAAAGGGACAAAGTGCTCGTTTGAAAAATACTTTTAAACGACTGAAAGCGCTTTTAGAAAAAATATTGAGTTTCTTCAAGAAGCACCTGGAGTGCTTTCTTCAAGAAGCACCTGAAGTGCTTTCTTCAAGTGTTTTTCCATGATCAACTTACGCTTTTACTAATGATTGGCTTCTAGCATGCAGAAAAAACGAAAACAATTGAAATTCCAAGCACAGTTCAAAATGAAGGTGACAAACATAATACACAAGATTGTTAAACACGAGTCCAACTTGGTTAAATTTCCGTCTCTCATATGTACCTCTAATTACAGAAAACTACTCTGTACATCAGGCACAAATAGGAAAGGATGCAATCAAGAGTCGAAAGGGCTTCGCAGGAGCCAAATGACCCTTCATCATCACTCCTCCCCTACATCTATGCCTCACGCGCAAGAACACAGCCAAGAATGAATTGCCGCCTGGCAAACGCATTGCCAAAGGGATCCAGGGGGACTCGTACCTTTTCGGGTAGAGTCCACAGCATCTGCCTCCAGGGGTTCACTGAATGGCAAGACGCCTCTGTGAGGCCTGGTTCGAAGATATGTTGCCTCGTTGCTGGCCTTTCCAATCTCCTTCTTCCCCTCTCTTGCCCGAGCATGAAGGATACATTGAAGCCTGCAAACCACCATGGGGCTGGTAGCAGCCACTACCATTTGTATAATTATGAGCCGAATACGCATCGTGCACTTGGGAACCTCTTGCTTCCCGTTGACTATTGGGGGAATTCCATGTTTCAGCAGAATCCGAGTGAAAGGGTTCTGAGCCCGATGAACTGCCGGATTGTGATGAGTGCACTGGACCAGAGCCTCTGCCCTTTTCTTGTCTAGTGCTGTTTGAAGTATCACCATTAGTTTTCTTTGCAAAACGTCCTCCAGTACCTCTCGCCCTTCTCATAGCATGTTGATGCCGTGATTCATGAAGATATGGCTGTAGAAAATGAGAATTAACAATCCAATTACAAAAGTTAGCTAGGCTTGCTGGATATTCATATTTCAAAGAAACAAACGCAAACAATTTGAGTTGGAAATCATTAACTGAAATAAAGATTTCATCATACCGCCACAATTTATATACCACTAATCACCCCTGAAAAACAAAATCTACAACTGTTTATCGTCAGTCTCTTACAACCATCGGCATACAGTTAAAACATTTTAACCTCACACTAATCAAATTAGACAAGTCTACAGACTTTAACAGGACTGTTACCAAATATAGTTTATACAGTCGTTGAAAACTCCATAGTAACTACAGGTTCTTCACATGTCAAATCACAAATGTATATACTAAGCAAGCACATGCTTCCATTGGCAGAATGCAGGTGACAATGCATCCCTCTATGCATACTTCATGCGTATTGCATAGCCATGTCCTGGTGTATATATATATATATATATATAATGGAGGCTTTAGTGATATACATAAAAGTGAGCACAACGCCATAATAACTCCAACTTTTTAAGCACTCAAGACAATTTTCAAAGCTCTTTTCACACAATCATAAAACTTCGAGTTGTGATATGTCAAAACAATATATATGATCACCAGAGAGAACGGACTCAATAAATATCTTACCAACAGTGAGGTACATGGTTCAAACAGGCACATGAAACAAACATATACCACATCTATATGAAATAAAACATATTGATTATAATACAAATGCTTGCGTGCACTTTCTACCTTCCTGACTTTTATTAGCTTCCTTTCTAGTTCTGCTTTTGCACGTGCCTGTCTTCGCCTTAGAATCCCTTGGTATTGTTTTGCATTTACATACACAGGCTCCTGTGCCATCTCAAGAGGCAATGGCATTCTCGCATGTGGCATTCCAAGAAAAGGAGGATATCCCTGAGCATTTGAAACAACATTAACAGTCTCTCACATTTATATATCAAAACATCTACCACTGCACAACTTCCAAATGCACAAAAAATAAATTCATATCATACCCAAGAAACATAACTTGAATGGGTTAAATATTATAACTAATCTGTTTTTTAACCACCACCACCATGATGCAAGACAACACAAGGTGGCCTACTACCCAGGATTGTGGATAGCGGAAAATTAATCAAGTCAAGGAAAAAAGAAAAGATTTAAGACTCTTGTAAAATTAGATAAAATAGAGAGAGAATAACATGGACGAGATGGACAAGAGAAAATGTACGAAGAGATATCAAGGCATCAAGCCTTTCAACAACACTATTGTGTATCCAAAACGAATTTGCTTTACAGATGGAATAACATGGATGAGATGGACAAGATAAAATGCATGAGAAGATATCCAGGCACCAAGCCTTTCAACAACACTATTGTGTATCCAAAACAGATTTGCTTTACAGAAGCTTTCTATAGTCTTCACATTGAACTCCCATAGACTTGTAGCATACCAAGTCTGATTACATGGCAGTAGGAGACTCTAAGAAAACTAAGACATCCACTACTTCTAGGATCCAAAATACACTTTCATCCATCCATGATCCACTTTGCTCGAATTTGCTTTATAGAATATAGCCTTCTTATATTGTCTTAACATAGAACTCCCAGACTAGTAGAAATACAAAGACTGACTCAATGGTAGGAGACTGATGTACGACAATAGTAAGGGATGGAGAAATAGAAGAGATCCAGACTCACTCCGGTCTTTGGCATCACACCAAAGGTGTATTGAAATCACTCCAATAACGAAATTAGAAAAATTCCGGCATCACACCAGAGGTGCTTTGGAATACTCCAAGATGGTTGTGCCACACACACAAGCAGAGAAATCCATAATTTATTTCTTCACTAATAATCTGATTTCAAAAGCTTACATTAATAGGCTAATTGGTACATGAATCTGGAAAGATCCGCATTAATATGCTTCGGAATTCTAAAGACTAATTTACGACACCAAATACATTAAAGAGAAATGTTAAGGAGTCTCTCTCAAAGTGGGACTCTCCATGGACGCTATGCCACCTCACAGTTTAACGTTAATTCCCGTGCCAACATTATAAAACCTTGTGCCATTTCTCATGAGGTGGCAGAGGGTCCCACTTTTGAGAGTCTCCTTAGCATTTACTACATTAAAAATGTAACATAGAGAGACTCAAGACAATTAACTTGCAGATTACATGCATATATTGCAGTTATTATATAAGAAACTAAAGTTTGGACTTGGCTCCTGCATCATTCTCCCTTGGGTTGCAGAAAACTCGACCTCCAGTTTGACCTGTTAAGTTGGTCGCCAAGTTGCTATCCTTGCCAAATATACAGGATCTCCAACGATGTAAGGACATAGTTGATGTAGGACAATAGGAAGGGATAGAGAAATAGAAGAGATCAGGACTCACTCAGGCCTTTGGCATCACACGAAAGGGGTATTGGGATCAATCCAATAGAGAAATTGAGATACTAACAATCAATATTCCTAAAGTCCAATATAAATTGATTCTCAATAACAGTCAACACGAACTCTTAGATTTACATTTTGTTACTCATTTATTTTATAATTTCACTGATTCTAACATTACGATAGGTATTTCTGTTTCAAAAGAATGTTGAATTGTCAAGATAAGACTTGGGATTTACTCCCCATAGACTCGATATATAGATCATTTCACTATGTCCATTGCTCTTCCCCACCCAAAACTTATTGAGATTCGATAATTTGAGAACATTCAACTCCTAGCACACCCATTATCGGATGTTCCCAGGAGTGGACAATCGACAACTCCAACTATTTCACAGGATGCACATAGGCCACAACAAGAATACTTACAATTATATGATATAATACATCTTCAAACTTCTCATTTGCCATGGCAACAATACATACGGAGAAAGACATTAAGAAGAATACAATTATGAAAAATATGAAGGAAAAAAAGAACAAAACATGAAATCTGACAGTTGTAGTAAACCAGTCAGACCAGGAAAAAAATTAATAACATAGAGTTTATAAAAAAAATAAAAAATAAAAAATAAAAAAAAAAACCCGCGAGAAAGAAGCTGTCACTAAATGCTTATTTCTTGCTAGAGCTATAATAGAGATCATATTATCACATTCAAACCCTGTAAATTAGGGGTTTAAAGGGACTGGACTGGACCCGTTTTAAAATGAAACGGGGCGGGACGGGCCGAGTATAGTGTTTCTGATTATTGGAACCAGCCCTAACCCGAACTGTTTGAAACGGGTCGGTTCCAGTTTGGGTCCACGGGTCCATTTGCTTCATTTTTTTTTCAAAACCGGATTAATAATTTATTATCATCCATTGCTTCGTCAAACGAAAATCTGGAATCAAAGAACGAAAATCTGCATCAAATTTTCAAATTGCTATTTTAAATCTAATTCTGCAGCAAATTGAGAATTTTAAATCTAATTCAACAACCCTAATTCCTACCATAAAAACTTAATTCAAATTCTGCAGCAAATTTGGGAATCAAAGAACGAAAATCTGGAAAGTTTAAATCTAATTCCTTTTAACAATAACAATTTCTTTAAATGCCCAAGTTTGTTGCCTAATTGAGAATTTTCTTGGTCTCAGATTCCTCTCTCTCTTGATAGAAAAGTTATAGAAGAAATCATCAATTCCAGAACGAATAGAAAGAATTAAGAACCCTAAATTCCTAAATAAGAAAGAATTAAGAAACCCTAAAATTCGAATTGCTATGGAAGCAGCTCCGAAATTGAACAAACTAAAAACCTTAAATTCCCAAATCAACTCAGTGATTGTGAAGAACAAAAAATGATAAACATAGGTGAAGGGACAACAAGAAACGAGTCGAGGCTTGAGGGTGGGAGAGACTAGGGAGAACGAGGAACTTAGTGCAGTCTAGGGAGTGGGAGTGGGGGAGGGACTGAAATTCTGAAAGTCTAAAACCATTAGAAACCAAAAACCTTATTATAAACGGGCCAGTCGGGGGCCCGTGGTTCTCAAGTTATGGACCCACACCGCCCCGTAAGTACCCTCGGCCCACCCCACCCCGCCCCGTTTTGTCTCTATTAATTTTGGACCCGCCCCGAACCGACAGTACCCGCCCCTACCCGCGGGTCCAGGACCCGTTTGCCCACCCCTACTGTAAATCCATACATCATGAGAAGACCATACCAAAACTCAAATTTCAACTACTAACAACAGAAGGAAAAAATTTCAAAGGAAAAATTATCCTTTCCTAATCTACCAAATCAGACCAAATAATTTCCTCATCCAAAATGTTGGCTGGGTAGGAATGTTGTTAACCTCAGTTCCAAGTCCTGACAACTATCCATTCCACTTTCACAACCATCAGATGTATGATATAACAAAAATATTCTTTTTAGTAAGTAACAATGACCGGAATTCAATCCTTCTACAACAACCAGCCGCACATCATTCGTTCCCAATTTCATGTTGTAAAGAAGACTAACGCATATATACATGTAGAAATACAAACTGCAGTAAGGTAAGTATAACATCTTCAGAAACTGAAGTTACTGAACAATTACATAGTTGCACAAAAAATAAAAACACACAAATCCAACATGACACTTAAGATGGTATTGCACAAAAGGATATTGCTGTTTAACATACCAAAGGCTGATGTCCATAAGCTGCCATCATTCCACCATAATAAGGATCCTGATAAGGATTTGAAGCACAAGCCTGCAAAACAAATGCATTAAAGCCAGGACTCATACATTCCAAAATCATGCAAGTACGAGTACCTGAACTTCAACATTACAGAATTCAATATTTGATGACTACCAGTAGAGCCGGAATCTTAAAAAAAGTAAAATGAACTTACAATCGAGTGACCCACAAGTTCAAGCTGTGGTGGTTGTGCAAGGCAATCATCGCGCACTGTAGGTACACCCGATCCAGCGTGCTTTACATTGCGGTGATCTTGCCCATAATTTCCAGCTGAAGTTGAAACAAGATATTAGAAACTGAACCCAACTAAGAGGGGGTGGGGGAGGTTTTATATCAAATTCCCAGACATAATAGGAAGTACTACCTGATCTTGGAGATGTAATATGTGAATCTTTGGTAGCATCATCATCATCTTCATTTGTCTCATCATTGGACAAAGATTGACCATCATTAGACTCTGACCCACCATTTGGGCATTCTAACAAAGATGAGTTGGATGCATTCCTCCCTGTCCCCGTTGGGGAGATGGGATTATGCCCAGCACTGCACCACCACGGTTCTGAATAAACACTGCTTGGTGGGATGGGATGAGCATGTGGTCGATTTTCAGCTTCGTTTTTTGGCTGCATGCCTCAAATTTCCTTAGATGGAGACCAGCTCTTAGTTCTACAGATAAGTAAGTAAAAAATGAAATCCAAGTGAGTGACTTAAAAAACAGAGTTCCTCTTAATGTATAAGAAAGAGAATCAAAACATGCAGCCACAAACAAAACCATCAATGGTGATGAAGAAAAATGAGTACCACAGAATGGAGCACCTCTATCTTGCGAATTCAGTTAATATGTGATCTTCTAGGCCAACAAAAGTAGAATGTATCCCGAGTTTAAACTTATTTTCACTTCAAGTTGTCAAAAACATAACCAACTTAATCCAAAAGTGGTGCACAAAGCTGAACTAAGCAAGAGACTTTTCCTCACCACTTTCCAATTACAGTCAAAGAAAAGATCAATTCCAACTTTCTACTCTCACTCCCTAAACATATAGCAATTAAAAGACAAAAAGAAAACATTGAAAGTTCTATGCTCTGCATTGGTTGTTTCCCAGAAATTAAGCACAACAGTTGCATTAAACTCAACAATGTTATAACTTTAAATAACCTGATCTCCAAATGTTAATTCATGATTAACTTCCAAGTAATCACAATTTACAAGTTATAGAAATTCAGTACTGAAAAATACACTCCAGATAGTGTATCAATGATGAACCCCAATTGGTTGAATTATTCTGTACATACAATTAACTAAGACTGCAAAATTACAAACCAAAAACCTCCTCTTTCCCCCTTTTTCTCAGCAACCAAACAGACCACAATTAAAACTCTCCGACCCCAGAAACAATTTTGAATTCCGCAAACCCTAAACACACCGATATCACAATTGCATGCAATAGAAACATGAACAGAGAGGATCAAATCAAAACCCCAATTCTCACAAACCCTAGAAATCAACCACACAAATTATATTCAAATTTAATCAATGAAAAGGTCAAAATTTGAATCCCACTTTTTAAATTAAGGAAGAAAACAAATCCTAGAGCACTTACTTGCCGAGAGAAAAGCCAATCCCAAACAAAACCCTAGATTTTGAGCCTCGGAATCTCACAATTTCCCTGCAATTCCATACAATCTCACTGTGTATATAACTGTAGTGAAAGAGCGCTCCTATTTTTATTTCCACTTACAGGGTGATGATTTCGTCACCCACCGCGGGACCCACCTTATAGCTCTAGAACTTTTGTTTACCAACACGTGGACTGTACCCAACCGGGAACTCCCTCGACCAGTTTTCGGTAGGCCGGACTCGTCTCTGGGAAGCGCGAGAGAAAGGAACCGGTTGGAGCCAGTTGTAGGTTATAAAGTGAAAGCAACCGGAGCGAGTGGGGGCCCACCAGGGTGAGGTTATCGCAGGAAATTTAGGAGCGAAAACATAAAAAATAGAGTAAAAGATAAGGAAATTACGAGAGGCCCACGCGACGAGCACTGGACGGGCAAGGTCCGGGATACGCGAGGCGTCTTGGTGGGGACCACAGAGATGGTGCAACGCCAGCAGCGTTAGCCACGTGTCCCGTAAAATTGACATTTTCCCGGGAAGAGTATGTTGGGAACCAGCAGGAAGGTGCGGTGCCTTAACTGCTGGTGAACAAGAGACCCCAAAAAACAGGTAAACGTAATACAAGGAGATTGTCTCTGTTCTGACAATAAATGAATAAAAAGTAGGCCCAGTTCTAATGTTGGGCCAAGCCCGTCAATATGGTTCGGTGAGTGTCGAAAATGAATTTTGATTTGGTTCGGTTTGACAGGGAACAAATAAAATTGAACCATTGGGTTTTGGTTTGGTACAATTTCAAACAGTTTCAGTTTAGTTTGGGCCTAACTTATAAGTCCATTAAAAAATTAGGCTTACCTTAGAGGCATGTTTCGGTTTCGAGTTCCCAATTCTTTTTTTCTCTTCTAATAGTATGTTTTGGCTGCCAAACGGGAGAGATACAACAAACAATGGCCAATGACATAGCATTTGTGGAATACCAAAAAAATAAAATAAAAAATAAAAATTTACTCGAATGTTATTTTTTGTTTCTACAGAGAATCCATTAATGGGTCTTTCAAATTTCTCAGCTTTTCTTCCCTTTTACGCTTGATTTAAATGACCCTCGCTCTAACCCTAAAACTAATCACAAATATGAAATAACAAAAATTATTCACAAATGTAATAACTAAATTAACTAAGTTGTTACCATATTAGCACGCCGGAGCAGGATGAGCGAAGGAATTCAAACTTTTGGTGCTATGTGCAGTGAAAGAGATGACGAGAGGAGTTCGATTTTTGAACTAGGAGGATGACTTGACACGATCCAATCGGAGTTTGGTTGGAGTATGTCGCGATTTGTAGTGAAAGAAGACGGAACGGAAGAGACGAGGACGTCGAGGAGAGGAAGACAACGTTTTGTGTGTCGATTTGGTTTCAACTTTCAACATCCAAGTCAAGTGGTGCCTGGCCATGTTACAAAGTGGTCGAGTGCAGACTAAATGTATGGACTCCATCAAACAACCAATTACAGCCCCAACACCTAATTAGCTAATTAAATTAATTTTTTTTTTAATATTATGAGGTTCCAATCAATTTGGTTCTATATATCGGGAACCAAAACCAAACATTATCTTAGCTTTTGGTTCAGTTTCAAACGCAAAAATCGAATCATTCGACCCACAGTTTTTTTTTTGTTCAAACACTAGTAAAAAAAACACTTTGCACGACACAGGTCCTTTGTCGCGCAAAGTAAAAAAACGTCGCGTAAAACTTTGCCCCACGCACCTCCGTCGCGCGCAAACCGTCACGGCAAGGCAGTGACAGAAGGCTTTGCGCGACGCATGTAACCCTTCGTCGATCAAAGACACTTTGCGCGACGCAGCCTACGTCTTTGCGCGATGCAGCCTACGTCTTTGTGCGACGCATTTAATCCTTCGTCGCGCAAAGTATTTTGCACGACGCAGCCTACGTCGCGCAAAGTAGTTTTGAGCGACGCAACATACGTTGCGCAAAATTACTTTGCGCGACGAAGGGTTACATGCGTCGCACAAAGACACTTTGCGCGACGTAGGCTGCGTCGCTTAAAGTAGCGTCGCTCGACTTTGCTACATCGCGCAAAGTGGATTTTTGGTTTTTGGTCAAAAATATTATTTTCTTAATTTTTAATAATATTGTAATTAAATTCTAAACAATAATTAATTAACCAAAGAAAATATTTAATTATAAAATATATATGGAAATGTATTGTATATGTCCGAATAAAAAAGAAAAAACTACAAGTAATCTTCTTGGTGAAATGGCTATTGGGTATCAACAGGGTGAAGTGGCTCGAAAGTCGAAGGTGTAGCAAGATCAAGTACTAGTAGCGAGATTTGGAGGCTAGTCATCTGTATGGCTCGTACAAGGTCTCTCATGTGGCCAGCATAGGCCTGTAGCTGCTCGCCTTGGGCCCTTATCTGTTCCCTCATCTGCTCGCCCTGGACCTCAAACTGACCCTTTAGGGTTGTCACTTGCTCCTTTAATGAATCGACCTCTGCAGTGTTCGATCTGGAAGAAGAGGCACCAGTCTCATGAACTCGTGCTTTCCCCATGCACCGAACAACCTTGCCGTGACGACGACCGAGGTTCTGATCCAAGACATCAGTCAGGATCTGAAAACCTGCATCCTCAGGTACCGTGACGTCCTCAATCGGGGTCTCCGGGGGAAGCTGCGATGTTGCTTCTTGGATAACAGCAGTGTGCTTTTCCACCATAAGAGCCTGTAATAATAAAGAAAAAACATATATATAAATAATATTTGAACAATTCATGCATACATATAAGAATAATAACAATTACATTTACTTACATGAAGATGCTCAGTGTTCGCATCTCCAGGTCAAACGTAAACGTCCTCGAACATGTCGATCTCTGGGAACTTAGAACCCTCCTGAAGAAAAAAAAAACATTAAGAAAATTTTATTAATCAATAATAATAAATAACTTGTCTAAAATTTCTAAATTAATATACTTTTACCTAACGTTGTGCCTCAAGCCTATACGAAAAGGGCTTCGAACCGGAATGGTGAAGAAGTGTCTTTGACTCCCGAGCTATCTTGCTAGCAACAGATTTCTTCTGTTAACCACACAATATACATGTTAATGCGACTATTTGAAATAAATTAATAAAAAAAGCTTAAAAAATAACTAAAACAATAAGAAATTATTATTAAAATATTATGTACATACCACAAATTTTGGGTCCGTAAAATGTTTGCAGAGCCACTCCCAATCCTCTTGCCGGTCCTTCAACTCGCTTGGGCAACCACGTAGGCGAGCAATCTCCGGAGTATCCCATAGCTTAAAATGCGTGTGAAGATAGTTCTTCCAATGTTTGTACCGGGTTGCTAAGGTCTCATCTAAGTAGGCTTTGACCTCAGGGGATATATCATCAAGATCAAAAATGACCAACGAATATGAAAAATAATAAAATAATAGTAAGAAATTTAATAATATTAAGATTATATATTTTGGTTTTTAATATTTGTAAACAAAACTAAAAAAATGATATTGAATCCAAATTTGTTTATTTAGATGAAGAAAAGAATGCAAGAATCGGAAATATAATTTATGAACCCAATGACATTCATGAACAAGCAACTCAGACATGGCATAAAGTACAAGATTATAATAAACAAGAATCGATAAGATTAGCTTATGAATTTGAAAAAGAAACAGAAGAGTTAATTTCAAAAACTGATGAAATAGATCAAAATGAATTAAATAACTAGATAAAAGAGTTAGATGATTGAATTTCATTACCAGATTCGAAACATACCTAAGTAATCCAGTAAGTCAAAATGAATATACAAAACATCAAGAAGAACAATATTTTTATGCAGAACCAAGTAGTTAAAGGCTAAAAATTAATATACTAACAGACAACTTTAAAAAATGATAAAGGCTAAAAATTAATACTAACCGACAACTTGTCTTGCACCAAATCCTTCGTCTTATCGGGAATTTATGCCCACTTCTCCCACTGCATAGGACAATTTTGTTTAATAACAACACCACAACTACTAACGACGATGCTATGCTGCTGTGCTGTAGCAGCTCCACAATGTACCAAGTCATACTCAATCTTGATCTTGGAGCCAGTCAGACGTACGCTCTGTGTTGGCTTCAGCATTCGACTAGGCCTTCTAGTTCTGTGTGGCGGCGCCCGTGAGGCCGCCGTGCACTGAGCAGGTGAACGGACACTGATGATGTCGATGAGACAGGCACCTGGGACGCCGTAGGAGTAGCCTCAATAAAGGGAGTAGGCTCCCCATTCAATGGAGCACTCACGCATGGAGCAGTAGATGCTGATAATGTGGGAGGCGCATTGGTCACACTCCGACGATGAGTGATCAAATGCGACATCTATACACTTTTTGAACCATAAAATTATAACATTAGAAACTAATCAATTAGCAGCCAAAGTAATAAGTAGGTTACCAACATTCTTAATTTCAAAACAGGTACGAACAATGTATATTTAAATTGAGTAAGTAACAAATTATATGCAACAACCTTATGAACAACCTTGTGTATATGTGTGTGGATCAACAATTAGATATACATAATAAATGTGACTGTTGTATGGCTGATATTATTCATTTGCAATTTGCCACTATCTGGTGATTCACTTATTGTCAGCTACTGTCCAGAGATATCACTAGCAAGTACCAACTTTTACTTGTCCTAGAGTTGATACTTCATTTTATTTCAAGGAATAAGGTGATACAAAAAGAGGATGACGACAAAGAAGAAACAATATCTTTGCCAATATGAAGAATCAGAACGAAAAGCTAAAGCACATGCGTTATGACATTAATCAACAGAAAAAGGGGAAATTTAAGTCATTTTTCTGTACGAGGGATGAAGACTCAAATTCAAGTCTTATTTTCGGTGATCTAGTTATGTAGTTAAGAACTTTGATATCAAGCAAAGTAGGAAACCCATTAATCCATTTAAAAAGCAAAACTTAAATTACTAATATGGTTAAACTAATAAAACTATTATAAAAATTAAAACATAATAAGAAATGGAAATTCCAAATTGCAGTGGCAAACATTTTGCAATCCATCATCCAACCAACTAATCTTCCAATTATTTGCATATACATACATATATACACACACACACATATATATGCTTGGAATATGTATTTAATTATTGCAGAGAAGCAAAACAGAGAAATGAGAAAATTAAAGGGAAAAGGAAAAGGGGAGAAGAGAAAGATATCTGAGACTCAAATTTAAGTCATTTTTCGGTACGAGGGATGAAGACTCAAATTCAGTTCATATTTTCGGTGATCTACGTATGTAGTTAAGAACTTTAGAGCATAATTTAAGCATTGTTGAAATGAATTTGCAGTATTCACCAGTGGAATTACAGTTCATGCTCTTATGTCTTTAAGAGTTATCATGTCTAAAAATGAGATGTGGAAAAAGAAGAAGCAGAAACAACTGAAGCGAGGACAAAAAGGTAACATAGTTGAGCATATGATAAATTTTGAAATAAGTGTAAAAAGTAGAAAATTTTACCTCCAATAAGAACACCAACTCTAGTTGTTCCCCCACAGTGACCAGACAAGTACTTTGATGGATTGCACTGGGACACTAGAGACATGACAACCAGTAAAAAAACGATTAGAACAAAACGAGCCAGCTTCAGATTGTGATGCTATGTACATTTCAGTTTCAGAATATTAATATGTCAGGCAATTGGTAAAAGTTACAGATGCATTTCAATTCACATAAATAAATGGAATACAAGCAGAATTCAAGGCTCGAGATCACAAAGTAAATCACCCACGAGTTCTGACTTCCTATGTATGGTATATTCCAACTATAACAGTTTGTACAGGTAATTGCAAGATTTTATTTATTCAACAAGAACTCAGTGCAAATCCAACTTTGCTACATCCCCTCGTGAGGAATTAAGATGCGAAATAGGAATTCAGTAGAACTTGTAAGTTTGAGAGACTATCAGCGTAATAGACAACTTGTGCTATCAAGGTTTACGTTAGTTAATGTTATAACTTAATTAGGTCCACAACCATCGGATAACAAAGTTTACTACACGGACAATTGCACCGGAAAAACTTATGCTGTAATTTTACAAGTCTTCTCTCCCCTCTTAATTTGTACATCCAAGGTCCTAAATATATCTAGTAAAGGCATGTGCTTCACCTAATATCCTCTATAAACAAACAGCACAAAGGCTTTGACTTTCGGTGAAGTCTTCATTGGGATAACGACTATTCAACTCAAAACAATACGAAAACATTAGAATACTGCAGATTCATTTCAACAATGCTCAAATTATGCTCTACATACTCAGATCAATCTTGGTAATAACTCATAAAACTGCCAAACATAAATAAGTCATCGACAAAATTGCAAAAACTTCAGCAAGAACACCTCCATGTTCATACTCAAAACACACATACAGATCAACAAAATTGCAAAAACTTCAGACAATCAACTCGAATCACATCACAAAAAAATCAATTTGACAAAAACCCAACATGAAATTTGAGCCTAAACCCTAAATAACAAAAACCCATCGAAAATCAGAAACCCTCACCTTGAATTTGGGACTTGATTCGCGTCGATTTCGAGATTCGCGTCGCTGCCCGTCATTTAGAACGAGAGGGAGAGAGACAACTGATAGAGTAGTGGTGGTGGTTGGATTTAAGATTGTGAAGAGGAAAGCTTGTAAACGAGAGGGAGAGAGATGTGTATGGGAAAGAGAGGAGAGATGAGCAAGAGGGAAGAGAGAGGTCTATCAATTATACGGGAAAGAGGGAAAGACCGAAAGAGGGCAAGAGGGAAGAGAGAGGTCTATTAATTATACGGGAAAAAGGGAAAGACCGAAAGAGGGAAGTGCCAAACTTAGGAAAAATTGAAACAAAGTGCCTATTTTTCACTATTGGAGCGCCAAAATTATCATATCTTGCGCGACATTGGTATACAATTTGACGTCGCGCAAAGTGCTTTTGCGCGACGACCATGTTAAGGCGTCGCGCAAGGTATTTTTTTTTTCAATTATTATAAAAATTACTGAAAATATGACTTTACTCCTTTCAAATTCAATTTTTTTTTACATAAACCCCAAAATAATATATTTTTCTAATAAAAACCCACAAATTTTTTTTTACATATATATATCATTCAATTTCTTAAGTGTTATAAGTACTAAATAAATAAATTAAAATCTACTTAGTAAATATAAATACCATTGAATTTGATGAGAAACGCATTGTTAGAAATCCACTAGTAAATATATATCTAATTATATATATATATAATTATATTATATAATTATTATAGTTTTTAGGGGTATAAAATTGTTAAACTAATATATATAATTATTATAGTTTATTCATACTTTTATTAAGTATAACATAAGATTTTGTGATATCCACAAGTGTAAATATTTTAAATTGAAGATCAAATTCATTCTTTGTATTCATATAGGGTCAAGGAGTGTAGTTGTAAAAAATCATCAAAATCGGAGTTAAAATAACCGTTAAATCGTGATTTTTTGTTTTATAACCTTTGAAAAGTTTTGTCCGGTTACTTGATCTCTAAATGTTTGTTTTTTGCAATTTTTGGCATATGCGATCTCGAAGTATATACAAACATGTTTGACGGTTGGATCGTTGAAACTAGTTTCGTAGAATGCGTGTATCTCATCAAAACAATAGATTCACTAACACTTAAAAAGTTTATTCATACTTTCATTAAGTATAACATAAGATTTTTTGGTATCCACTTGTGTAAATATTTTAAATTGAAGATCGAATTCAATCATTGTATTCATAGAGGGTCAAGGAGTGTAGCTGCAAAAAATCATCAAAATCGGAGTTAAAATGACCGTTAAATCGTGATTTTTCTTTTTATAACCGTTGAAAAGTTTTGTCCCGTTACTTGATCTCTGAATGTTTGTTTTTTGCAATTTTTGGCGTATGTGATCACGAAGTATATACAAACAAGTTTGACGGTTGGATCATTGAAACTAGTTTCATAGAATGAGTATCCCATCAAAACAATAGATTCACTAATACTTAAGAGTTTA